CCATCAGACTGAGCTTCAACTCACACCTCCAGGAGAACTTTGAACAGGTTCCGGAGGAGGTGGAGGACATTGAGTCTCAGTGGGCCATGTCCTGTACCTCCATTGTTGAGGTAGCTTACCTGAGCTGTGGCTGTAAGGTTGTCGGTGCCTGTCGTGGTGACAGCCCTCGAACATGCTAGTGGACACCGGCGGTGAGGGATGCTGTCAGGTTGAAGAAGGAGTCCTATCAGGTGTTTTTGACCTGTGGGACTCTGGAAGCAGCTGACAGGTATCGGCAGTCCAAGCAGATCGTGGTTCAGGTGGTCACTGAGGCAAAACTCAGGTGTGGGAGGAGTTTGGAGAGGCCATGGAAAAAGACTTCTGTACGACTTTGAGGTGATTCTGGTCCACCATCCTGCGTCTCAGTGAGGGACAGTGGTTCACCACCAACACTGTTCATGGTGGGGATGGTGCACTGCTGACCACAACAAGGGACAGTGTGGGTCGGTGGGCAGAATACTTCAAAGACCTCCTCAATCCTACCGACACGTCTTCCCATGAGGAAGCAGAGCCTGAGGACCCTGGGTCGGACTCTCCAATCTCTGGTGCCGAGGTCACTGAGGTGGTTAAAYAGCTCCTCGGTGGCAGGGCYCCGGGGGTGGATGAGATTCACCTGGAGTTCCTTAAGGCTCTGGATGTTGTGGGGTTGTGTTGGTTGATGTGACTCTACAATATTGCGTAGACATTGGGTGCAGTTCCCCTGGATTGGCAGACCAGAGTGGTGGTCTCCCTATTTAAAAAGGGGGACCACAGAGTGTGTTCCAACTATAGGGGGATCACACTTCTGAYCCTCCCTGGTYAGGRCTATTCAGGGGTCCTGGAGAGGAGGGTCCATCGGATAGTCAAATCTCAGATTCAGGGTGAAAGGGGTCTCTGCAGTCACAAAATGGGAGTTTCTTATTTTGTAGGAGGAGTTGACACAAGTCATGATTGGTCGGATTGATTGTGGGGTTTTAAAAAGCTGCTGGGGGCAGCGGGAGTAGCTTGGTCGAGTCGGGCAGGAAGCAACATGTTTTTTAAGATTAATTTTAGACATAACTTGAGAAAGGAAGGTGCTAGCTGCATGAAATTTGAATGCCGTTCATATGAAGGGATGCGGCTCAGTCAAAACATCCCTAATAACCTGTAAAAGGATCACTAAAAATTAATGTGAAAATATTAGTCATTATTTGAGACAGGAAGAAGCTTGCCACATAAAATTTTAAGTCAAATTGTGTTTACATGTTAAAACYATTTTTATTTGAGTTATTGTTCTGGTTTAAACTCTACATCGACAATCAAARCATATTTCTTTACTATRATTACTTCCTCCCTAAAGTTGCCCCACAAGACATGTCAATCTGACCAATCACGATTAGGGAAAACTGCCTACACACCAACTCCGCCAATCACAGGTAGGGTTATCTCCGCCCACAGGACAACATGTACTGCAGAGACCAGGAAGATTCAGGAACAGCAGTGTGGTTTTGGTCCTGGCTGTGTAACACTGGACCAGCTCTACACCCTCAGCAGGGTCCTGGAGGGTTCATGGG